ATGTTGGCAACAACGATCCTAAAATCCCATGCTATAATTGAGGAAGACTATTCGGTACTTAATTTATAACTTACCCCTGACGTCACGACAACGTCACGGGAGACATTCCCAATAAATTCTAGGGTGTTCCGGTTGTAGTTTCTCGCGATTTATCTACAGCCAAGTTTAGGGTTAGGGTTAGGGTTAGGGTTAGCATGAGAAGACACTAGATGAACACTCAAAAAAAAAAAAAAAATACACACAACAGCACACTTCCACCCCTTGAAATAATGGACTGTCAGGTCAGCTGTAGATTTCCCACTGGGATTTCGTGTTTGGGGTACGTTATAAATTAAGAACCGACTATTCTCAACGTTGGCGGGTCTTGCTAGTCATACTGGACATCGTCATGGGCTGTGAGTACCATGCCACTTCATAGCGCAATATAACACTGTCGTCTGGAAACACGGAAAGGTGCCAATTAATCATTGTTCCGTCCTACGCCTGTACATGTCACTCTGTTTTAAGAGCCCGATAAAACATAACCAAAAACGAACATTTATTTGTATAACATTATTTCTTCATGAAACTTCCGTTTGATAAGAATATTTTTTTTTTTAATGTCACGTGTATTAAATTGCTGCTCTGTTATAAATATAATTGTACACATGGGAAGTAATTCTCCTATGAATTAGCCTCTATTTTCTCAGGCAAATTTAAGTATTTTCATTCATTCCTTTTATTGAATTTTTGTTTTCTTGTATGATTATAGCAATTATCATTATTATGCATGTGTGTAATTTCCCTTATAATACACAAGCATTCCTGAGTGTTTTTTCCCTGCCACCGTGTTTCCTGTTTTTGTTCGAAGTATAATCTCTCTCTCTCTCTCTCTCTGTCTGTCTGTCTGTCTGTCTGTCTGCCTGCCTGCCTGCCTGCCTGCCTGCCTGTCTGTCTGTCTGTCTGTCTGTCTGTCTGTCTGTCTGTCTGTCTGTCTGTCTGTATATACATTTATTTATATATATACGGAGAGAGAGACATATATATATATATATATATATATATATATATATATATATATATATATATATATATATATATATATATGTCTTTCTCTCTTTTTTTTTAAAATCTCCGCTGCCTACTTGTCCGTCTTTCTATCGGTGTATCTATCTACCTACGTAAAGTATATTAGGGTCCTTTTACACACTTCAATTGCGCATCGGGAATATAAGGCTAGACACATATTTCTGTAGAGCCATGGGTGGTGTGGTCAACATGCCGACCTCCTTTACTTCCCAAGACTTTACCTGGTACCCATTTTAAGCTCGAAAAACCTTGGAGCCAAGGTTATGTATGAGAAAATCCAGCTCCGTAGGGATTTAAACTCACGACCTTCGGATCTGCACGAGAGCATCTGTCTACCGCTACACTACGGCTGCTTCCATCCACCTACGTAACTGCTTATCTAATTATCAATCTATGCATCTGCCTACCTGCCTGTTTGTTTCTGTTTAAATATGTTTAACTGATACTGAAATAAAATACACTGTTTGAAGCTCAGCTATGATCTAGTCCGTAAATGCTGTACTTAAGATATCTACTGTAGTTTGTGTTCATGTGCTTGTTAGTTAGTAATATGATGAGCAGGTGGCCAGGGTGTTAGTAAACTTATTCACATGTCACTGGCCATAGGTTCAGATCGTTTGGTAAAAAATATTAAATTGTCAGAGATAATATAATTACTAATACTATGGTACTGACATATGACTGTATTAGTAGGTAGCGGGAATATCCCCATACTTCATCAGGGGAACAAATATCATAGTGATAAATACACTCAGAATAGTGAAATTTGTATTTTCCTGTGTATAAATAGGGTCATTAAAAAATCCAAAACACCTGTTCTGAAGAGATGAGACATGCTTAGGACATAATGACTTGCTTTAAAGAAATAAAATAGACAGTTGAACTAATTTGGCCATATTAAAAGATATAAAGCTCTTATTAAAGCCATACTGGAGGGAGAAAGATAGAAAGAGACAGACAACGAAACAAGTGGGGGAACAGCATCAAGAGATAGACGAACAAGTGTACTACCAAGACAAGAGACAAAGAGTGTTGGAGATCAGTTGCAGCGAACCTTCATTGTGGAGATGACACCTGATAGATTGAACCGGAGGTCCTTAGTAAACGCAAGGAATTGCAGCACAACACCCTGTAGAAAACTGACAAAAGATAGAATAAGGCTCGGAGCTGGCAACTTCTTCCTGTAAACAATACTATTCAAAACAGCCAACCAGATAAGAACACGGCTTAAACAGGAATGGCTTGGTGCAAATTGGGTGAGGCACTATGCTCCACTGGGAGTCAGAGGATAGGGAGTCTTCACGGCAAAGTGGTCAAGCCTTTAACTCGCCCTCTCAAGATTGTGGGTTCGCTTTACAGCGATGTCCTTCTGTTCACATGTGTAATTTTTACGGAGATCCCGGGAAATCATCGCGCAAGCTACGGAACTGATGCTTTACGCGCCGTTTTCAGCAGGCGGCTAGATATTTTGCGGCTGTATGTGATAAAACCCTGCACTGAAGTCAACCCTCGATCCTTTAACGTTAGAGGGTAGCAGAAGGAGAAGAAAAGCTGTATATCTAAGTTCTGAAAGAGGTCGATTCAGAGAGAGATTTGATTATCCCATCATGATCCGACAGTCAACTTGAGTTTGTGCAATTTTATGATGAGAGACGGAATGCTGAAGGCTGTGACAACTGAGAATACTCCGGATGATAGAGACAGAGGTCTCCTATGGGAGTTCTGGTGCCCATTTTGTGGAGACAAAAGAAAAACACTTCCATGTCACGCAATGTCATTATCCACTGGCCCATCCCGTATATCACTGATGATATCTGCTCTGGTCGTGCTTCTTTTCATGCATTGGTGCATTGCTTGCAAGTTGGTCCGCTCACTCATTACCTTTTACGCCAGCATGACCCGTGTTACGCCATCATGACCCATGTTATGCCATCATGACCAGGTGTTTAAACCCCCCCCCCCCCCTTTCCACAATACCATTGAAAACAATTAGAACCAGAGATGACTCATTCCAAACATCAGAATATGTTAGTGACAGTCAAGGCAGACCCATACATGGACAGAATATGTCCATATTCTTCTGAACAAATTCACACCCACATATACGGACGAGGCACAGACTGGAATAATCGAACAAGAAGTCAGAGAAGCGATCAGATGCAGTCTAGAAAATAAGGCCGCTGGTGTTGATGGAAGAACAGCGAAGCAATACAGGCCTGTGGAGAAACTGAAGTCATCTGGTTACTTCATAAATACAGGAAAGTATGGTATGAAAGAATTGTGCCAATAGACTGGCAAGGAGCCATTTTAGTACCAGTATGGACAAGAAAAGGCAATGAGCAAGATTGTAACACTTATGGAGGCATCTCCCTTTTAAGCCATATAGGTTAAAATGTATGCCAAGATTCGGGAACAACGAATCAGATCTGTTGTAGAACCGATTATGAGCCCGACACAGCTTAAAGTTACAGGAAGAGGGTTTGCTGACGCTATTTACACCCTAAGGCAAATTGACGAAAAGACAATAGAACACAGACACCAAATGAACATCGCTTTTATAGATCAAGAAAAGGCTCATGCTGATATTATCAATGCCCTCGGAGAAATTGGAAGAATAGAGGACTTTGGTGGCAGTGAATCCACATCACTCGCCAGAATGGCAGACTTGGGAATTAAGATCGGCACAGCAAAAAACGAGACGCACACCAGCTACGCCAGAAGACTTGTTAATCAACATAGAACTGGTACTATTAGCCATCGGACGTTGGGGTTCATACTGAGGGGAGGATCTGAGCACCTATGGACATGTCCGGAGTGCAATGAGGATAACCCAACTAACTAACTAACTAACTAACTAACTAACTAAGAAAAGGCTTTTGACAGTGAACAGAGATTAACAATGGGATGTCCTTGAAAACTATGTTAGAGCTGTTTATAGAGAGGGAGCTGCGTGGTCACGAGGCAAGGCATCTGCCTCGAATGCTAGAGGTTCTGGGTCTAATCCCCAAAAAGGGCTGGGATTTTTTTTCAGTGGAACTTCTAGTAATTCCCCCTGGTCTATGGGTAATGAGATCGGATACCCATGTGCATTGTTGCGTACGTACAAAAATCCCTTGGCCGTTGGAAATCGTAAAGAGTAGCCTAACGGCGCTGCCCGGACAAAATTTTGAGTTAAAAAGCTACCAAAAAATGTTTGAGGATCCTCGCCAGTGCTACAGAGCCTGTGCACTCTGCTGAGCATCTTTAGGCTCAGACTTGAGTTATGTTGTTGATCCGTTGTTCAAAAACTTCAAAAACTGACTGACTTTCTACCCCACCAGGACATCACACAAGCGATAAACACCTGATGACACAAAGTGCCACCATGTGGGTGAGGATCACTGTGGAGAGGTCCTAGAAACCGCGCTTAGCCTTTAGGCCATATTTATGGCCAGGCTATATTGCAGCCTCTGGCAAAAGCCAGAGTAGGGCTTCAAATAACGAAAAATTGCATCCTAAAAAGGACGAAGTAAGCTGATTTCAAAAACGTCAAACTTAAAACTATTTATAGAGAAAGTGAATGAGCCATCAGAACAAGAGCTGGCCTCACAGACTGGTTACCAGTATCATCAGGAGGAAGGCAATGGTGTTTTCTTTCACCTTTACTTTTTACAATATTCATGAACAATATTAATAAAATAGACATAACACAACCAATTGGGGATAAACCGGAGGACTTCAATGAGCTGCTCTTTGTCGACAATCACTGCATATTCCACAGTGAAAGTAAACAGCTGCAGGACCACATAAACCATAAATGGTGGATTTAAAGATTATATATCAAGATACCACAGTCTTTTCTCTTTACATAATCTTTTTCAATGTTTATGCATAACATGCTGTATGCAGTATCCTGTGAAATTTACTAGAATGTTTCTCATTTTCAATCACAGATGAACGATGCACCATTTGACCGCTCAGAGTCCGAGGATGACATTACTGAAGGCTATGATGACCCGGTCTCCTTCAAGATTCTCTGTTTGCAGAACTTGACGCTATTAGAGAAACTTCTAATTGGTCTTCTGATCATCTTTTTTGTGATCATTATTTCTTTGGCAGTTGGACTCACTCGACCTCAGATTGTACCAGGTACAGAATTGATAATGACAGTGATGTCTGTAACTTTACAAACCATATATCCCTTACAGCATATAGAAGTAACGGTAGTCCCCGTGGCCTAGCGGCTACATGCTCACGTGGGGATCGGAGGGTTACGGGTGTGCTCCCTGGCGGAGCCGGAATTTTTTCAGAAATGACCTTGACTCTTAGGTCGACCCAACCTTGAGCAGTTACCAGGTGCAGTCCTGGGAAGTAAAGGCGGCTGGTGTGATGCTGACCACATCACCCATCTTGTGCCGATTGGTCTATAAAAATATAGGTCCAGCCCTATATGCCCTATACGCCTAAAGGCGTGGAAAATGGACCTTTACTTTTTTTAAATAGAAGTAACAGTAAAGACCTTTCCCTGCGTGCACTCATTTATATAAGCTACTCATAATATTGAGGCCTCACTGTGTACTGTTCCAAAAGATAGCAGTGAGTGTTATCACTATACTGTGCACTGGGCACTTCAACGTGTGCTTAGTCCTCTGATGCAGCAGCTACTTCAAGGTATCTCACCTCTACTGGTTGTTTCCGCGAGGAGCTGGTTATAAGTGAACGCAAGCCACTATCCATTGTGGCGATGGCACAGTTTTTTTAAACACTTGTCTAGGTGAAAGTAGCGGCCTCCCTGGCTTAGGCGTTGCGAGTCCGACTCGTAATTCCAACGTACCGCGATTGAAACCCACTGCTAGCTACGTGGGTTTTTATCATGGTACGGAGCATCGCAAGTCGACCCAGCCTAAAATGGGTACCAGGATGTATGTCCTGGGGAAGTAAAGACGGCCGACGTAATGCTGACCACATTACCCACCTAGTGCTGAATTGTCTGTAAACATATGGGTGCTCTTCCCATATGCCCGATGCGCCTAAAGGCGTGAAAAGGGATCTTAAGTTTACTTGTCCTTTTTTACCAGGGGGAAGTACTGAGAATCTGAACATTGTAACTGAAACAGTATTAAAGCTGAAAACACAAAAGATCTGCAATAACTGTTTTTAATTTTAGTCATAGCAGACTGACACTGCCTGAAAGTAGTACCAGGTAGTAACATGGGAAGTAAAGGTGGCCAGCATGATGTACACCAGATCACCATTTGGTCTATACAAATCAAGGTCTAGTACTATATTTTTGAAGTGCCAGAAGCATGGGAAGGACACTTTATTTTTTGATAGTAATAGAGAATGAAAGAAAGGATAACACTTAAGATGTGATTTCACAATAAATGGCCAACATATAATTCAAAAATATGGGGCCAATCAGTTAGAAGATGTAGATTAAGTGCAGAGTAAAAAAATGAAAGTGGTAGCATATGACTAGTCATCTCTACTGTATGTTAAAAATAGAGATTCTGAAATGTTTCTATCATACATGTTCTGCTATATGGCCCTGAATCTTGGAATGTTCACATTAAAAGTAGGTTAGATTTGTAGAAGTAGTACATTTTACCCCACCAGGACATCACATATGAGATAAACACCCGATGATACAAAGTGCCACCATAAGGATGAGCATCACCCGTGGAGAGGTCCCGGAAACAGCGTTCAACCATAAGACCATATTTATGGCCTGGCTATATTGCAGCCCCTGGCAAGAACCAAGGTGGGGCTTCAATATAACGAAAAATTGCATCCTACAAGGATGTAATTAGTAATATAATATGGGTTAGAAAGAGAGATTCTGAAATGTTTATATCAGACCCATTGTGCTATATGGCAGTGAATTGAGGAATATGAACTGATTTAAGTAGATTATTATAAGTATCTGTAAGAAAGAAATGGCGCTCTTTGATTCTTAGCAAGGAGAGACATTCAACAAAATCATAACTGAAACGATCAGTGCTAGAAAGAAAAAAAAAAGCATAGACAGATCAGTAAAAATAGTGACAGATAGTGTAAGGAAATATCAACAGTAGGACTGATCATGTACATCATGTTGATTTCTGTAAAGAAACATTTAATCCTGTGCCATTTTGCAAAGCAAAGAATAAAGATTAACATAAAAATAAGTAAAGTCCCTTTTCCACACCTTTAGGCCTATTAGGAATATAGGGGAAGACCTGTATTTTTATAGATAGACCAATCAGCACTTGGTGGGTGATGTGGTCAGCATCACACTGGCTGCCTTTACTTCCCAGGACCTCACCTGGTACCCACTCAAGGTTGGGTCAACCTGGGAGTCAAGGTCATTTTGAAAAAAAAAAGTCCAGCTCCGTCAAGATGCGAACCCACGACCTTCCGATCCCCAGGCGGGCGTCTAGCCTCTGTGACTCCCAATGATTAACAATAACTTATTATAATTAAGCAAAGTATACAATTGGGCTAACTAGAACTAGATGCCTAGGGCATATACTTCAGATAGGTACAGTGGTAAATTTTGATCAGCATATTGAGTTCTTTTTTAACCCTTGTAATAAACGCAGTGGCATAGTGTTTACTATTTAACTTACTTAAAAAAGTGTATGGATTCAGGCCCCAGCAATAGCAGGAATGTTTTTTTTTTTGTGTTTTTTTATGCTAACCCTGAACCAAAGTTATCTTCTCATTAGAGAATGTCAAAGGTACTGAAATTTCACATTTGCTATTGGTGATGTGGACATGTAATCATTTTGTTTTTTTAGCACAGCACATACAACTGTTTGCAATTTGGTTGGTTATGTGTAGGTTGGTAAAGCTTCCTCCACAGGTTTTCTGATATTAGATGATTACAGACTCCAGTGATCATAAGTAACTCCAGTATAAAGCATTCACATAGAAATGAATTTTTTACCTTTAACATAAAAAATGCAGAACAGAGTTAGGAAAACAGAAGTTCGGTAATTCTTCATTACCATAAATGATGGACATAATATTTCAGTGTTTTTTATTTTATTTGGGATCACCAACTTTGTGATATAGTTAGGTATTTATACTTATTCTAGGTCATGATATTTAAGTTGAAGTGGCCAGTTCCCTCCCTCATTGCCTTTCTCCATAGACAATCCACATAAAATTCTCAAAATTGTCTAGTACCAATTTTATGAGACTGGGTCAGCCTCAGAGTGTCACAAGTTGAAAAAAATAGTCCTGCCTCTAGTGGGGATTCTACCCTGACCACTGTCTTGCCAGGCAAGAACACTGACTACTATTGCACCTCATATATTAGTGTGCCTGTTTGCATGTGGTGCTGTGTATGATTGTATTTATTTATTTATTTTTTTATTTATTTATTTTATGATACCCACTGGTAACTTCCGTATTACAGTCACCAAATACTGCAACTCACCAGCATGTGTGAAGGCTGCCGGCTCTTTGTTATCTAATGTTGATTGGACTGTTGATCCTTGTGAGGACTTCTACAAGTTTGCTTGTGGTCACTGGTTGCAGACGCAGCCAATCCCACAGGGGTTTCATCACTGGGATCGCTTCCAGGAGCTCAGTGAACAAAATCTCTATATGTTAAGCCAACTCATAGGTAAGTTAATCTGGTATCGCAAAAATGAAAAGTTTGTTATCAGCATGTAGCAGGACCTTTAAATTAAAGAAAATTGTTTCCATCGCATTTTGCCTGAAAGAAACTTGTCTCTCACCCTCCCTTGCATGAGACAGGGTCCTGCCCAAGTGTCTTGTGTCCACCTGCATGCTGATTGGACCCTCCCTCTCCTTCCTAATACTATGCCTTCATCATTACTGTTATTTCAAAGCCAATGTGACATCTGATATGGGCAAAGTACTTAAGTTTCTATAAAAGATGATGTTTATGATACAATTTCTTAAATGTTCATATCTGTTATATTGTTAATATTTCTTTTATTCTTAGTCAGAGGTATTCTAAAAATCTTTATAAATAATTTCATCTGAAAAGCTTCAGTTTTCTTCCTCACTGGCAGTAAGATGGTCCAGCACTGACATCCGCATGCTGCTACAGTAAAACTGCATGCTCTCAAAATATTGACTTTCATTTGTATGCTAGTACCAAGTCATAGACTTGTGATGCTGTTTAATGGTTGAAAAGTCACAAAATGATTTTTTTTTTTAAAGTTAATCATCATCATGTGACAGGTTCTTTACTGTATATCGCTCCTGCCACAGTTTACCTGAAAGAAACGTAGCCCTGTCCCTTACTATCTCTCCAGTCAAAAGAGTAATATTTTTTCTTTTTGTTTAAATCAGTTGTGTGGCAGTGTCTTCCTCTTCTCCTGTCTCTTTATCTTCTTCTTCTTTATTTTAACTCTCAAATGGAGCATAAAGTAAAAAGTAAAGTAAAGATCCCTTTTCATGCCTTTCGGCGCATCGGGCATATGGGCAGAGCGTCCCATATTTTTACAGACCATCAGCACTCTGTGGGTAATGTGGTCAGCATTACGCCGGCTGTCTTTACTTTCCCAGGACATATATGGGTCGACCTGCGACGTCCCATACCACGATAAAAATCCACGCAGCCTGCAGTGGGTTTCGATCGCGGTATGCTGGCTTACGAGTCGGACTCGCAACGCCTTAGCCATGGACGCCGCTCAAATGGAGCATAGCAGGGAATAAACCAGTTCTTGTCAAGTTTTTTTTTTCCAGACATTATTTTAAATTGAAGCAATCTTGTAAATTTCAACACAGAAGAAATAAACAACAGATTGCTCAATTTATTGCCTGGCGTATTTCGTTGTATTTCGTCAGGTGCATACTACAGTAACAATTAATTCAAATGAAGCAAATAAATAAATCCTTCTAACTGAAATACAGAATCGAATAAATTCACAAGTAACTGCCTGTTTCGCTAGGGTAACCATGAGCTGAAAACCATTTCTTTTTGTCTGCACAATGCTGGATTAAACTGGTTTATAGCTTTTGCTTCCATGAATCACAATAGTCTGTGGTTGGCTTAGGTAAAGAGAATTTGAAACGCATCGTCCTTGTTTGCAGTGTGCCCAGAATTCAAAAGGTGGTGCATAATGGATGATGGATGATCTTTTCATCTAGTTGTTGTTGCTGTTGTTCTTAGTATTTTGCTTTGCTTTTACCATCAGTGGAATATGTTCAGTGGTCTGTTTCTCCAGTCGTTGATCTATTTGGCCCACATATGCAGCATTACAGGGGCATTTAAATTGGTAAATACCATTAGATCTGGCGTACATCAAATTTGGTTTTTTTCACCATTTGTGCTTTCTTTGTCCACATTATTATAATTACAATAAATAGTTAATTTGTCCAGCTTAAAAAAATTAGTCTGTAGAATTGGATAACCAACCCTACTAACTAACTTCTGTGTACTTTTAATCTTTTGTTTCTACCTTTGTTTTGTTTGAAACCAAGCCTTTTTTTTTTTCCTTCAGGAACTATGCCTTTCATTTTGTTCTTTCTAAACCACTATGACATTTAAATATGGATACAAATATTGTAGCTAATGAGACATGATACACTTTGTGTCAGTTTATTTTGAGATTCAGATGTCAAAATAAATTATTGTTTTTACAGTGCATAATAAAACAAGATCAAAAGCTAGGTAGGAAAAGACTGGCTGTGAAAGAAGGAGATAGTGAATATATAATATAATGTCATTTTATTTGCCACATAAACTATCTTAAATGTAACAGTTTTTCCTCATGTTTTAAACAGAAACCAACTCACACATTGGAGAAACATTTGAGAAGACCCGTACATTGTATAGAAGCTGCTTGGATGCAACTGTGGAACAAAAGGAGGAAATATTAAACCAGTTTAGCACAATTATCGAGGATGTTGGGGGGTGGAGTTTGAGTAAAAATGACAGCTTTAATGACTGGAGTATGCTGGTAAGTGACATTTTTACACTGAGTTTACATGGCTTAAATACTAGTAATTTGTGTTATGCTTCTTCTTTTTCTTATATCATCATCATCATCATCATCATGTAGCAGGTCCTTTGCAGAACATTGCTGTCATCACAGTCTGCCTGAAAGAAACTCAGTCTCTCACCAGTTCTCCCACCTCATGTACTTTCATACTCAAGGAGTCACTTATATCCTGTGCCCATCTTCGTATTGGTCCGCCCAGCCCCTCCTTCATAGTACCATGCCTTCTGCTATTATTTTTTACAATCCGTTGTGGCCCTTGATATGACCAAAATATTTCAGCTTCCAATACAGGATACTGTTTATTAGCCAATCTTCCTTGATGTTCACATCTTTCAAGATGTCAGTACTTCTCCTTTTCTTTGGCCAAGATATTCTGAGACTCTTTCTATAGCATTTCAGCTCAAAAGCTGTATATTCTCTTTCTTAATGACTGGGAGATAGTCCATAACTTAATCCGTATGTTGCTACAGGGAAGATGCACTCTCTCAGAATTCGGCTCTCCTTGCAGATCCGGACAAGGGTTGGACGACTTGGTTCAGTTGAGTGGGAGTTCTCTCCCTTGGCCGCACTCGAAACAGTGAGCGGAAAAGTCACGAAACAAATGACATACTTACCTATCATCATACGGTTGCGTGTTAGGTTGCGTACGGTTGCTTTTAGGGTTGCGTAGTCATCATACGGTTGCGCGAAGGGTTGCGTAGTCATCATTCGGTTGCGTGAAGGGTTGCCTTGTCATCATACGGCTGCGTGTAGGTTTATACCTATCATCATACGGTTGCATGAAGGGCTGCGTACGGTGTGGGTTCGGGGTTAGGGTTAGGGGTTAAGGGTTAGGGTTAGGGGTTAGGGGTTAGGGTTAGGGGTAGGCTTAGATGTGACAATTTTGACGTAGGAGTTCCAAATACTGGCCGAAAATCTGGTGCTTGTGGGAGTGGCGCCACTGGAAGTCTGTCAAATATGACCGCAATAGCGCGCAGCTGGTGCCCAACCGGTGGCGACGTGTCCGTGTCAGTAGCATCCACAGTCCGTCGACTGTTTGGGTGTGTATGTGACAGTGCGCGATTATTGGGAATTCCTGCGTCGTCAAAATTGTCACATCTAATGCTAAACCTAACACTAAACCTAACCCCTAACCCTACCCCTAACCCCTAACCCTAATCCTAACCTTACCCCTAACCAACACCCCTAACCCAAACCCTACGCAGCCCTACACGCAACAGCATGATGGACTAAGCAACCCTTCAGGCAACCGTATGATGACTACGCAACCCTACAAGCAACCGTATGATGACTACGCAACCGTACACGCAACCGTATGATGACTACGCAACCCTAAACGCAACCGTACGCAACCTTACGCGCAACCGTATGATGATAGGTAAGTATGTCATTTGTTTCGTGACTTTTCCGCTCACTGTTTCGAGTGCGGCCAAGGAAGAGAACTCCCACTAAACTGAACTAAGTCGTCCAGCCCGCATCCAACCCTCGTCCGGATCTGCAAGAAGAGCCCAGAATTCTAATGTTGATCTCCTTGCTGGTGCTTAACCGTAGACTTTTCCTGCTTTTCTTCTGTATTCACTATTACAATGATAGTTAGTATGTTTTCTTGTGGTTTACAGCTAGGCTGTGATTTCAGCACCTTGTGGTATGCACATCCTGTTTGACTAAAAACTCTAATAAATGTTCTCTTGTGACATGCTTGCTAGGGTGTGCCTAGTTAACCATGTTCTTAGTGCACTTGTATTCATGGTGAGGTTCAGATGCCGTCTGGAGGTGACAGGTTCAATTCCCCGCACAGTAATTATTGCTTTCGATTTTTATGTTGTCTAGTGTGTTCTTCTATCTTTCTACTTCTTTCTATGAGTCCGATCAATACACTTTCTGTTACTTGATTAATTCATAATATTTAACGGCCTCAAAGATTCCCCCTCTGTTTATTTGCTAGGGGCAGGGGGTCTATTTTTGCCCCAAATAGATGGTACCAGAATTCACACTGAAAGGTGCTATTCAATAAACTTGAATTTATTTCTCTTTTTTTTTTTTTTTATTTCAATGGCCTGACCTAAAAGGTTTCACCAATAACTGACAGACTGTAGTTGGTTGATGATTCAGAACACAAGACTACTGTCTGACTCCTGTCAGTTTACTCACTGAATCATTGGAGGGAAATTCATCTCATGCTTGTTGAGTTTAGATAATGCTACTTGTTTATTCCTTATGACTTCTCGTTTAAAACCTTTCACCCAAGGAAGTACCAAAACTGGCCTTTTCGATGTGTACAATGCCTCCGTAAATACCGCTTAACTGGCATTACTATAGTGACTTGCTTATGACAATTGGTCAGCCAATGGCTGTGGTTAATAAAAATAGCATTTGTAGGTGTATTTTTGTTGTTGTTCATAAACTGGCTTTATTTACAGAAACTAAGATGTCATGATTTTCCATTAGTCACACAGAGGTCTCCAGAGTCACTATATTAATTTTTTTTTTAACTTCAGGAAGATTCTCTGTTGCATTTGTTTTCATTAATTACTCTATTCATTGTGTGTCAAATTTTTTTTTTTTTTTTTTTCTAAATGTTCAGAAATAGAATGTTTAATATATTTTGTCTGTGTGTGTGTGTGTGTGTGAACTATGTGAAATGGTTTTGTTTTTCAGAAGAAGTATTTTTCTCAGGAACACCCGAAATTCCAAAATTATTAGTCCTTGGCTTTGGTTTTTCTAATGCCGCCAGGTAAAATGGCTATTGCACAGAAATTTGCAAATATAAATGCATATGATAATCACATGACAGAGACTGTTACAGAGGTGTGGTTTGAGAAAGGACGTACGTTGTACTAGGATATGATTATGATATTGCGAGTAAAGGGTGATATGCTGCCTTCTTTTGTACCTATTCTTTTTAGGAACACCTTTGTTACAAGTCTTCTCAAACATGGTCCTTTTCGGAAATGAATTTGATCAAAAATAACAATCTGAAATGAACAATTAACCTGTTTCATTGTGATGTGTTAATTGGCAGGATGAATACCAAAGGCAGGCAATACCACCCTGGGATTTCAACTTTGATAAAAAGAAAGACCGTAGTTAATGCTCAAAGAATAACAACACATTTAGAATTACGGCCAGTTGGGGAAACTAGAAATAGAATATAACTGCATTAATATCTTTGATGGCATAAAAATTGGAGCAAAAGAACAGAGAGGAAGCAAAGAAAGGAGAAAGATAAATTATGGTTAAAGAAGTCACATAAAATGTGCCATTGTTGAATTTAATGTGAGGGGCATAAATTATTTTTTACCAATGCACTCTTCTTTCATCAGTAATAAATACCTTTTAAACAGATTTACTACGAACTGCTCACAGAATAAAGTACATAGACTACAAACAAACAGAAAAATAGCAGCAAAATCATGGTTTTTTTTTTTTATGTAGTCTTTGACTTCACAAGTGTTTAAAAGTAATATTTGACAGTATAAATATGGGTCGTGGTGGATTATGGCAGGATACAAATCATACTGGTAATGAAGCAATATGCAGATAGTTTGTTTTCCTGCATCATCTTAGTTCTTTAGTTTTGTCTTTCCCATGTTGCGATGCAATTTTTTAATACTGCAGTTAACGTTTTTTTTTTTTGGGTCTTAAAATAATATTTTGACTGTCCACTAAGTGCTTCAACTAAATGTAAATTTTTCCAATTCTCTATAGTTCTTGATAAAGATTGTTGGAAATGTTTCATTTATAAACTGGTTTATTGTTTGCTGAGCAGCCAGATGTCAAGCTGACAGTTTGTTTTTAAAGACTTATTTAAAGAAAAGATAATATCACTTGACACCCATGTGAACTCTTATTAAACAAAATATAAATCATTTGTTACAACCAGGGAGACTCAGTGTACATCAGGCAATAAATCTTTTTAGTCCACAATACTCTGAACTTGAAATTTAACAAAGAATATCATGTAGACTTTGCAAATGTCACACATGTTAGCTTTATTTCAGTTGAAGTTGCTGATAGCAGTGTAAATTTAACAAATATTTCACACTGAAAATTAAAACTCATTGGCAAAGTTTGTAGTCTTCTCGCAGTGCATCTTTCTTTGAAGGTCAGGAATATTTGACCAAGGAATACTACACTTTAGCACAGTAACAATTTTGTTTGCATCAAATATCACATGAAAGCTCAGAAATTGCTGTTTCCCATGAAACCATATTTGTATTCATTGTACCATTCCCTGTACCACAATTCTATACTTTTATTCTACTAAAAGTTGTGACAACCTTTTCATATTTACTTAACAGTAAATAATATGATTCTTCATCTCCTCCTCCTACTCCTCCTTTTTCTTCTTCTTCTTCTTCTTCTTCTTCTTCTTCTTCTTCTTCTTCTTCTTCTTCTTCCTCTTTGTCTTCTTCTTTTTCTTCTTCTTCTTCTCCTCCTCCTTGTCTGTTTACCCTTGAAATGGCAGTTGGCACGTTGTGTTGTACAGCTAGGCTGTGATATCTGTGCCTTTTGGTCCAGCACATATAATTTAAACAAACCCCTAATTAATCGCCTTTTATTACAGGCTTCTTAAGAGACAATGATTCTAATTATTTCCTCCCAAGATGGTTTCATTGAATCCTCATGGGAAAGTAGAATGATATATTAAATATCTGTCTGTTCTATCTATACCTCTGTCCATGAATTCATCCATCTAAACAGCTACGTGAGTTCGTAATATTTAATTTCTCAACCACCAAAGAAGTCGGCTCTGTGGCTAAGTCGATGCGAACGCTTCGTAATGCCGGGTGCTGGGTCCCAGCTGCGGGCCATGCGTCTTGCGTTGGTTTTGACAGTGGTATCAAGAGAGCCGACTGTCCAGAAAGCAATGGCAAATGACTAGACGTAAATTTGCCTAGAAAAACCACACAACAGCCAGGGGCTGTTGGGGTTGGTTGTGCAACGTCCTGTAAAGGATACGCAACCAACCTACCACCACATAGGAAATACTGCATAATGTGATGATTAGGATTCAAGGAGTACAATCATACATCATGATTTGCTTGAGCCTGAAAACATTAATTGTACTTTCTTTGTAGTTTAATGTGGTGTTGTTTCATTCCAACCCCTTTCATCATTCTTGCAGATTGGCTTAGAAAATGTTCATGGTTATGGGGCTTGGCCATTATTCAAGATTGCAGTGGAAGTTGATGAGAGAGACCCAACAAAGCAGAATATCATTAAGGTAATGTTGTGGAATTTCCTAAACTTCCAAATTAGTTGACTGTGAAAACAAGCAACATTTCACTCAGCAAATCCATGTTTCTAGAGATTAGATGAGAATGCATGAATGCTACATAAAACCAGTGTTAACATAAATCTAGGAATCCTGAATAATTAGAAAGCAAGCAACAAATTTCTTGAAAACTCAGAAATGTTGTTTTACAGAAAAAAGTTTAAAAATACCTTGGACAGCCAAAATTTGTAATGTAAATGTTGCGAAAGAGGCTTAGACATAAAGACAACAATTTAACACAGCCATTACAAAGAGATAGCTGACATTTTTCCACTCATATAAATATAAAGACTGGAAAATCATTATGAAATAGGAGATGTCGGAAGGTACCAAAAAAAATAATTTTGGAAGCCTTGGAAACAGACACAAAAAAACATTCTATTGAAAATTGATATGGAAAAGGAGCAGCAAGATACATTAGTTTGTAAAACACTTGCTGATGATGATTTGTTTGGATATTTCTAATCATGGAAAAAACACTACTGTTCATCACAAAAGAAGATGAGAAATATTGACATCTTAAAAGATCTGAACATCAAGAAAGATTGGCTAATAAACAGCATCCTTTGTCGAAAGCTGAAATATTTTGGTCATATCAAGCGCCACGACCGATTGGAAAAAATTATAGCAGAAGGCATGGTACCATGAAGGAGGGGCAGTGGTCGACCGACATGAAGATGGGCACAGGATATAAGTGACTCCTTGAGTGTAAAAGTGCATGAGGCGGGAGAACTGGCGAGAGACCAAAATTCTTTCAGGCAGACTCTGATGAGAGCGACGTTCTGCAAAGGACCTGCTACATGATGATGATGATGATGTTCATCACAAACGTTGACCAAATTTGCAAATCAGCTAACACCAGTGAAGAGGACAACATCAGAGAAATACTAAATTAATAGCTTTTCACCAGTGACCAGGTAATCATTGCACCAAATTGCAGTAGAACTACAAGAACATTTTAAGAGACTGCACTCAGAATGTGACAACTATGATATGAAGATCAACATAGACAAAACAGAAGTGATGACATGCTCCAGAAAAGAAAGAAACACCAGTATTAAAATTTGATGAACACCAGTTAAAGCAGCTGAAGGATTTTACATATCTGGAAAGCATTTTTTTTTTTCCCGAAGACGGAAGACTTAAAAAGAAATCCATTAAAGAAACAAAAAAGCCTATCAAGTTTTAGGCCAAATGGCCTAAGAGAACACTGTTCTAAACAATATTCTTACCAATGCTATGCTATCAGCGTCTAACAAGGACACTGTCTTCAAAAGACAGAAGGAGACAGTTACAGCTCTAACAGAGTTAGAGATCAACCATGCAGAAGATGAATCACAGAAATATCAGAGACACCGAAAAGTACTTTAAACAAAGTAAACAGAAGGGTCTGTTCCAGAGATTCTTTTCTTGCCCTACGCTGTGAGGAATTCCATGAGGAGAGAAAAGAAGAAAGAAGATTTTATTATTGCATAGATTAAAATTGTTCTTTTTGTTAGCATTCACCAGTTGTAAACTCCTGCAGAAAGTTATGGTTGTTTCATCCACACCTAACCTTTGGTCTTGATCCAAGACTTGAGTTTGGCTTGCTCATCCATTTTACAGATCTGGGGAGAGTGTGTGAGTGAAAGAGTATGTGTGTGTGCATACGTGTGTGCGTGTGTGAAAGAAAATTTGTAACTGATAAATTTGCAATGTCTCTTGAAAGTAAAATCAGTTTCCTTTTTGCATATTTTGGATTTTTTGGCTAGGAAGTGCTGGTGTATTTGTATGTTTGGAAGTAAATAGACAAATAGAGATTGCCTGGTTATTCACTGCTTGATAGTGAACTGATGCATGATAAGCTATAAGTAATCGAGGTCCTTTGGGAGCAACTGAGCAATGTAAAAAGAGCAAACAGATCATTATGGCCAAGACATAAATAAATCAGACTACTGTTGGCACAAATTAGCACTGGGCCTCTGTTCTGACTGCTGAAGTTTAGAATGAAGAACTAACTGGAATCACCTGAGAATTGTAATACCAATAGAACAGATGCTGGACAGTTTGACATCATGGCATGAAGAATCATCTGTGTCAAAGTTGATTGAAAGTACACGAGACAGAAGGTTGTGGATAGACATGACTACCAACTCTACACTGCATGGAGAAGGAGAAGAAGTGTACTGTAATATTGGCATTTAACAACTCAGTTCCCTTAATGCACTGATTTATCAAAATGTTTTCTTCGCTTACCTCTAACCAATCAGCTTATGTTTTAGAGAGTGAAGTCATTCTGCAGATTCTCTTAAACTGAATTTGTTTGCATTTTTAAATCCCAGATGTATATTTATATTAGTCAGCAAGGCACAGCAGGAAATGTCTGGTCACATTCAGGAACCTAGGATTTAAAAAAGCACAATATTGATTATCATTATTTCAGGAAAAGATAACATACCACCTTTTCGCACAAATCTTTTAATAATATTTGTCTTGTAAATTAAATTGCAGTTTGCAAAGAATTATTCTTGTGAAATTTTAATCAGTAAATGATTGTTCATATTCCTCAGTGATTTCATCACTTTCTGGAAACAAATAATGAAGAAAATAATGTTGACTCATTCTGTACCAAAAATGCACCATGTTTTTATTGGTTAACCCATACTTAATATGCCTTTCTTGACTTTCTATTCCATCCAGCTGTTACATAAATTTACTCAATCTGAATTGTCTCTTTAACCCTTTGTGTCCCAAATGGCATTCTAAGTCCTGTAGACTCAATCACTAATACCATGAACTAAAACAAAGGACAAACAGTGACATCCTACGTGATCTGAGCATTGAGAATTTACTCAAAAACAGCATCCAGTCCTTAAAACTGGTATTTTTGCCAAGTTAAATGTCATGTTGGCCTGGAGAGAACAGCGATAGAGGGTAATTTTACTGGAAAAGGAGGCAGAAGCAGACCTCTGTGAAGGTGTGTACAAGACACTGAAGATGCATTGGCTAGGAAAGGACAAAGGGCTGGAGAATTGCCTACAGATTTTGATACTTTCAAGTGAAAGGACTTGCTTATTGATGAGGAGACTCCAGTCTTTATGACTGTTAACATAGGACTTGACTGCAGTAGTTAATATTTAATTATTTCCTACACACCAATCAAGTTTTATGCAATAGCAATAATTTTTTTTTTAAATCCTTTCAATACCTTGAATTGCTTTGGGCATATAGTGCTAGACCCTTTTTTCAAAGCCTAATAGATACACCCACCAAAAAAAAAGTCTGTTCTCATAGCTTTCAAACATTGGTATGAGAGTCTCACTGTTAAAGAGACTGGGCGCCCGCCAGATAATATTCCCATAGTTAGGAGAAGAGACGTTGCCACTACCTCCATTGTGGAGATGGTACAGATGTTTTTAAAACACTCAGTATTTGGTGTGATCAGCATCATACTGGCCACTTTTTACTTCCCATGATTTCATTTGGAATGCTTTTTGACTGCGCTGATGTAGTTTTTGTTGTTAACCGCAGATTCTGAAAGTGGCAAGTGGCCTGTTGCCAGGGAACTTGTGGTGCCTTATGCAATTAATTGCATGTACAACTACTGATTTATTGAAACTGCTGCTTCTATTGACAATGAACTGTATTTCTAGTTTGTCAATTGTTTCTACTAGCACTTCTGACTGCTGCCTTATGCATTTAATGCATGTGTGTGTTGTTGGATTTGGTAAGACTGCAGTCGGTGTCCATTTTCTTTTCACAAGGGACAGTGAGGTACTTTCTGTGTGGGTTTTTTGGGCACAGAAATGGTGCAACTCTGTGGTGACCCATTTGCTGTGAAGTTGGAGCTGTGATTACCTTATCACCTTATACATTTTTTTTTCCCTTTCAACTGGGTCAACCTTGAAGCCTTGGTCAGTTTTAAAAGCATTCTTCAGTACGGATTTGAACCTGTGACCACTGAGCTAACAGGCAAGATGCTAAAAGATGTGCTCCCCTGGCTTCCAAGCAATGCTGGTGATTTTCAAACTCTATCATATTTCATCCACATTTAATTATCTACTTCTGTGTTCATCCTTAAAATGACAGTTGGCACATTGTTTACAGCTATGCTGTGATATCTGTGCTTTTCTATCCAACAGAAAATCCTTAATTATATACCTTTTATGACATGCTTGTTAAAGAACCCACTCAGGGAGCTTGGTTATCATGTTTCAAGCTATAATAAGTAAAAGTAAAGATCCCTTTACACGCCCTTAGGCGCATCGGGCATATGGGAAGAGCACCCATATTTTTACAGACCAATCGGCACTCGGTGGGTAATGTGGTCAGCATTACACCAGCCGTCTTTACTTTTCCAGGACAGCCCATCCTGGTACCCATTTGAGGCTGGGTCGACCTGCGACGTTCCATACCACGATAAAAATCCACGCAGCCCACACAGGTTTCGATCGCGGTACGTTGGATTACGAGTCAGACTCGCAACGCCTTAGCCACGGACGCCGCCTCAAGCTATAATAATATATTAAAAATATATAAAAACTGTGACTGTCTACAGATTGATGTTGGAGAGACAGTGCTTCCATCAGATGTTTTTAGATATACCCATTCTGGACAAGGAAATATGAGCAATACTAATGCTACTGTGTCACCACTAGTTAAAGATGCCACAGAGGTACCATTTTTATCTACATTTATTAAACTCAGTAATGTTACTGTGACTCACTAATGCTACTGTGTCACCACTAGTTGAAGATGCCACAGAGGTACCATTTTTATCTACATTTATTAAACTCAGTAATGTTACTGTGACTCACTAATGCTACTGTGTCACCACTAGTTGAAGATGCCACAGAGTTACCATTTTTATCTACAATAATTAAAATCAGTAATATTACTGGGACTCACTAATGCTACTGTGTCACCACTAGTTAAAGATGCCACAGAGGTACTATCTTTATCAATATTTATTAAACTCAGTAATGTTACTGTAACTCACTAATGCTACAGTGTTACCACTATTTGAAGATGCCACAGAGGTACCATCTTTATCTATATTTATTAAACTCAGTAATGTTACTGTTGGCGACCGTGGCTTTCGGGTTGTGAACGAGCTTCGTAATGCTGGGGTGCCGGGTTCAATCCCAGCTGCTGGCCTTGCACCTTGCATTGGTTTTGACAGTGGTATCAAGAAGCTGACTGTACAGAAAGCAATGGCAAACTGCTGGACATAAATTTGCCTAGAAAAACCACAGCAGCCAAAAAATGCTGGGGTTGGTTCTGCAATGTCCTGTAAAGGATACACAACTAACTTTAACTTTAATGTTACTGTAAATCACTAAAGCTACTATGTCATCACTAGTTAAAGATGCCACAGAGGTACCATTTTTATCTACATTTATCAAACTGGGTAATGCAACTATAGCTCACTAAAGTTACTGCGTCACCACTAGTTAAAGAGGCCACAGAGGTACCATTTTTATCTATATTGTATCTATATTTTTTATATCTTTATTTATTTTACTTTTAAATCTTTCTTCCCCAAGCAAGGCACAATGTCTGATTAGCTATTGGCTGTTTGATTCAAGTAACAGATTTTCTGTTAGTACATATTTTACGTTTGGTCTCGTCATCCTAATGATGTCTGGCTAGTTATTATAGAATGTTATATATGTTCAAGTAGTCTTCTTCTTCTTCTTCTTCTTCTTCTTCTTTCCTCTACTCCTGAAATGCCTCACAGCATCAGAACAGGAAGAGATCTCTGGAATAGTCTCTTGTGTTTGCTTCGTATATAGCACTCTTCAGTGTCTCTGATATTCCTGCGGTCCATATTCTGTTTGGTCAACCTCTGCTTCTGTTAACGTTATATCTGTATGACATTGCTCTCTGTGGTGCTCAGTCTGGGTCCAATAGTATAGAGTGTATATTGCCATGTAGATCTGCCTATGAGGGTATGCACCTGCTGACGATATAGTTTTGATCACTGAAAATGAAACATAACTGCAAGAAATGATGGACATAATTGTAACGGAAAGTGAAAACAAGGGTCTTAGTTTGAACAGCCAAAAAACAGAAGTGATGGTAATTTTGAAGAAAATGGACCTTCCAGAATACAACATCAAAGTAAATGGGGCAATTCTCAGTTAGGTTGAAATGTTTAAGTTCTTGGGTACCCAAAAAACAGTGGATGGAAGTTGTATTAAAGAAGTTAAATGTAGAATAGCTCAATTAAAAGTAGCATTTTACAAAATGAAAAATATTCTGTGCAATCTTTCTTCGTCATTTGAGATGAAAAAGAGAATTCTCAAAAGCTACATAAATCCTATCTTAGGTTTAGTTGACAGATCAACATCATGGCACAAGGGTAGTAACCTTAAGTGCTCCGTTCAATTTCTGACCCAAGCTTTGGTCTGAAAAATCTCAGCGCAGTACACGAACTCTGTACAAATTTTGCCCCGGGCAGCGCCATTAGGCTACTCTTTTTCAATTTCCATCTCCCAAGGGATATTTTACATGTGCAACAATACACACAGGCATCCAATCTTACTACCCAGACACCAGTGGAAATTACTAGAAGTTCACGTTAAAAAATCCCAGTCTTCACCGGAACTTGAACCCAGGACCTCCAGCACTTGAGGCGGATGCCATGCCTCGAGACCATACAGCCCCCAATAAATTAGTAAATCCTATCTTGATAAACAAAAGTGAATCATGGACAATTGGCAGATAAGTGAACAATTTTTTAGAAGCTGCAGAGATGTGGTTTTATGGACCAGTGATGAGAATATCCTTGATAGATAAAAGGAGTAATGAAGATGTATCGAAAGAAACTGGCTTACGAAGAGAACTGATTGCCCGCATCAGAAAGAGACAGTCAACATTCTTTGATCATGTCATGAGGAGGAGAAAACTGAAGTAGGAAAGTTGGAGGAAAAGAGAGGCGGAGAGTGCCGAGAGAGAAGATGCTGAACAATTTGACATCACAGCATGGAGGATCACCTGTGTCAGAGTTGATTGAAAGTACATGAGATGGAAGGTTGTGGATAGATATGACTTCCAACACCACAAGGCATGGACTTTAAGAAGAGAAGATATGGGGAACATACAAGAAATTAATTACATATAGCAAATATTTACTACTGAGCCAGTGCTGTGTAACCAAGTTTGCCCTTTTTTTTTTTTGTCACATGAACTGCCAGTTGTTTATGGTATAGAGTTTCTTGTATGTCATGAGCCAAGCAGTTCATATTTTTCTCTCTTGGTGTCCCTCTGTATCTCTTCCCTTACTATTTTTCTGTTGTCACAATGCACTTTTATACATTTGAACTTAAATTATACATATCAATAATCATCCTCCCACCCTTTTTTTTTTTAAATGAGGTCCCAGAACCCACACAGAAAGATGGCACAAAATGATCAGGAAGTTTCACGACCAGCCCTAGGACTAAAACACCTGATGATGATGCCAAACTTTTACAGTGTTTAACTTTGTAATTGATTTGCTCTATGCCAATAAAGTTCTGCTTGCTTGTGTCAATATAAATATAGAATAAAATGAAGATAACTGTGGTGACGTTGGAAAATCAATGAATAAACAAGAACAGAAAGTGTACTTGGTGAACTTTACAAGAACATAGTCATAAATGATAGAATTGATTTTGACACTGCACATGCTTTGTTTGCACAGAAAACTAATGCACGTGTAACTATGGAAAAAAAACAGTGATGTGTTAACGTGAATAAAATACAAATTTTACAATTAACTACACAATGGAGTGAATACACTTAGCTGTCTGAATAGTATACTATAAATATCTTCTCTACATTCCAAAGTATTAAATCAAATGAAATAATTGTCTTTTATCTTTTTTTTTTTTTTAAATTACTCAAGTTAGTTTCCATATTTGTCTGCGAATAAGAAAAAAAAACCTTGGCCCCTTTCTTGTGTGCTCCCAAATAAAGAAATAAATATGGTAAATACATTTCTGTATAAGATGACCTCCAGCAGAACATGCGAAGATGCAAGGGGAAGGACTAGGAAAGAGATGGATAAATGATTGTAGCTGAAACCTGCAAAAATATGAATAATTCTGTCGTCCAAGCCGCTTGTGAAGCACTAGAAAAATACAGAAATTCAAAGCACAGGCTACAACCTGGGGTCAGTTTACTGATTTAAGAGTCGACATCATAGCACACTGGGCATACCCAGAGATGCTCCGTCTCCCACAACAGATGTCTTCTGATTTAGATAATAGTTGTTCTTATGGTGCACTGATTATACACACATTGTTCTCTTCATCTCATATACTGTCCTTGCTGGATCAACTCCTATTTCTTTGTTCACACATTCTTACCCCTGTTCCTGGTATCAATGAGATGACAAAAGAAAAAGTCCAATGTCATGTATAAATAGCACAACAATATTATAATAATGATATTTTTTGAAGTGTGTAGGATAAAAATTTTCGGTATTTGAAGCCCCACCCTGGCTTTTGCTGGGGGCCCTGAATATAGTCAGGCCATAAATATGGCCTAACGGTTAAAAGGGGTTTCTGGGACATCTCCACGGGTGATCCTCATCCGCATAGTGGCACTTTGTGTCACCAGGTGTTTATCGCTCTGTGTGATGTCCTGGTGGGGTACAACTTACATACATACATACATAATAATGATAATTCTGATAATGATGATGATAACGATTATGAAGTGTAGTTACGTTTTATTAGTATGGTTAAAAGGCAAGCCATGATGTTGAAATACTTTATGTTAAACATAAACCTTTTTTGAATGTGGTTGTTTTTATTTCAGCTGAAAAATATTTTTATGGATGAAACAGTGCATTTGTTCACCTCTTTTGGGGCTACAGAAGCAGAAGCTATATCTAAAGCTGAAAGCATGTTGGAACTTGAGAAGTTTATGACATCTGTAAGTATTGTCATCTTTGTCCTTAGTCAGTCAATGTTGAGGTGCCATCTCCTACAGTATATGTTGGCTGCAATAGATCTCCAATATGCTCCATCTGCTGCCCTCACTCTCTCAGACTACTTTTTGTCTATCTAGTGATTTTATCCTACCACTTGTATCATTGTCTACCTCTTGCTTGCTTGCTCGCCCCCCCCCCGATCTCTTTTTATTCCTAGTCTTTTCAGAACCTGTGTATGGATTGCTTTTATTTCTATACAGTATAACCCATTCTTCTGTGTATCTTCATCATTAAGTGCCTTATCAGATCTTGTGGGTGATCATTGTGCTATACATCCTGTGACTCTAACAGAATATATAAATATATATACTGTTTTTCTTTGCCTTGGTAAAAGACTGTCAAGAATCTTTTATCATGAACATTAGGAGCATTTAAATTTTCTAAACATACTGTAATGTTATAAGTATATACATATTAGCATTTTCAAGAGGGTTTTTCTTTTTAATTATTATTATTTTTAAAGGGAATCTCTTTCATTGGACAGTGACACCTTCATTATTGCTCTTTTATTTTTTTAAGACCATAGATCATGCAAGGATGTTCTTAACACTTTCACAAACTCTGTAACACTGATAAGAGTCCACATGTGGGAATACTAGAATACCTTTTTCCTTCTCATTCACCAGCTGTGAACTCTGGCAGAAATTTATGTTCATTTGTCCACTTCTTGACTTTGTCCTGTACCAGGACTTGAGTTTTGTTTGCACATTCGTTATACCGATCTGGCTTATAAGTGTATGCAGACTGTTAGTTTCTTGCCTCTGAGGCAGATGCATTCTGTCTTTGAAGGAAACTCCCCTAATTAGTTGTATGACAATGGCATAAGCCTGTAGACAAAACAGAAAGTATATAAAGCAGTTGTGCTTTCATTTTACATAACTCAGTCTGTTTACCACCACCATGCCAAGAGGCTGAATCACTTTCACACAGTTTGCTTAGGAAGCTGCTGAACATCAAATGGCAAGAGACACTGATATTGTTATGCTCAAAAGAGTGGCTTACCAAGCATTTACACAGTTCTGAAATAATCCAAGTTATGCTAGGCAGATCATGTTTCCATAGTGAAATAAATATAGAAAAACACTGCTAAGAAATGTTTCAAGGACAGTCTAAAGAATCTATTGAAGACTTCTGACCTTGATCCTGAGTTCATTGCTGATTTATTATAATTGCTGTTTCCATCTGTAGTAGACTATGAGGTTCTTTTGTAATATTCTACCCCAGATGACGCCACAGGACAGTTCAACATTTTAGAGGGTGGTAAGACTGGGTTTCCTGGCTTTCTGATGCTTTTAATGACCCCAAAACATCTAGAATTGGCCCTAACCTTAACCCACCTACCTCCCACGAGAGAGTGCAGCCTAGGTCCCACGACTGCATGCAGCCTAGGTCCCACGACTGCATGCAGCCTATCTACCACCCCCTGAAATATTAGACTGTCTCGTTACCTGTGGATTTCTCCTGTTTGGGGTACGATATTAATAAAGCACCGACCATGATTCTAGTAGCAGACTGGTTTGTTGGCACTTTTTTTGTCTGTTTACATGAATGTGTATGCTATTAGCTTGTGCTGAAACTGCAGTCAGTTTACATTTGTTCATTGGCTCAAGAGTAGACCAAAAATGGGCTGACTGACCCATTTGCTGTGAAGTTCAAACTTTGATTAACTGATTACTAGACGTTGCAAACTCATCATCATCATGTCCCCTGCCAACTGGCGTAGGCCCTCATGCGTCTCCACAGATCATGATCCCTGGTTGCCTGGAACAGCTCTCCTAATGATATATCTCCATGCCATCATTTCAGCCCATCCAGCATCATCTCTCCTGGTCTGCCTCTACCCCTTTTTTCCATTGATCTTTCAAGTTGTCACGATGTTGCAAGCTAACCTCAGCATTTGATTGGAATTTTTCCTGTTTGGATTCCGGGGTCCCATTGTGAGGAAAACAAGAACAGACTTACTGCCTGCCCAAAAGTGTGTTGTAAAAGTCAATTAATTTGGAGCTTTCTTCAAAGTCGGAGTACATCTGCCAGATAGGCAAGTAACCAACAGTCTGCATGCAAATGAGTCAGGTCTGTGAAACGGATGTGCACACACCACTCGGTTTCTGGAACAGGACTAGAGTCCAGAAGTGGACGAACAACCAGAACTTTCCACTGAAGCTTACAGACGGTAAATGCAAAAAAGAAAAAGGCTGGAATTTGTAGTTTTACCAGACAATTTTATCCATACCATTGTCAAAATCAATGCACAGCAGTCTGCTGCCAAATCACCTGCAACATACTTAGACAAACGATGGTAGAATTATTATAACCTCTAAGCTGTAGATGCATAGAAAATACACTTTTTGAAATTGGATTCATTATATATACTTTTTTACATTTATTTTATTTCAGGCATCTGCAGGCTACAATCATATTCATGACAGATTCAAACTGTACAATGTAATGACAGTATCAGCACTGCAAATCAACTTTTCAATGGTAGGTATCTTAATAAAAATTGCTAATTACAGGGAGTTATATAATTGTACTGTCTGTGGCATGCAGAAGTGGGAGGGAATGAAATGAATAAGCAGGGTTGTTTTTTTTTAGGGGGGGGGGGGGGGGGCAGGCTACAAAAGCAACAGCTACAGAAACACTTTTATTGAGTGTATTATTAATTACTGTGTTTAAAAAAAAAATATTGTTCCTTTTTTTTTTTAAATATTGTTCCTTTTTTTGTTTTAAATATTGTTCCTTTTTTTTACTCACCATCTGTGGAGTTAATGCAAAATACACTGCTGTAGTGTGTCTTATTTTGGGTACTGTTCACCACATTATATCAGTTCTCGTTATGCCTAGTGGCACATGAGGCTTCAGAGAGGACTTTCTATGCTTTCCTGTCCTGTGCAATCTTCAGTGCAGTTTTCCATGTCAAAGATGCAGCACTCGGGTCACTTTCCATTACTCGTCTCCAAGTTGTTTTTAGGTGCCCCTTTTTTCTCTTTCTTTCCACATTAAAGCCCTATTAATAATCAGTTCTACTGGTTCAATTGCTAATTGTATTAGAATGATGCACTTAAATATCAGGAAATGGCATCATAAATTGTTGAACAACCACATTTAAATACCTGCCACCATTAATTAAGAAGCACATGCTCAACCAATAATACTCTTTCTTCAATAGTTAAACCATTACAGCTAAGATCAGTTACTAAAACACCAGTGAATATAGCAGTGATATTCTAAACTAATGGTTACATGGTGCTAGAAACATGATGTAATACACAAATTTAATTATGAAGCACAAATAATTGATGTCAAAAAAGGTCTACAGTCATTAAACATACATCCTGTATTTGACATTGGAGACTTTCTGAAGATCATTTATAAAGGAACACTGTCGGAAGACAGGATGTTAGATGAAATAACTCTTGCAAGGTTATGTGAATTCGGAATTAAGTCTGGACCTGGCAAGAAAGGTCAAAATGAAAGGAAGACTGTGATGTTTGTGTGTGTAACTAGTGTGTTATTGGAACAGTTTAGCATCTATACCATAACCCTGCCCTACCAGTGACACCCCCCCCCCTTTTTTTTTCCTCCCCCCCCCCCCTTTTTTTTTTCCCCCCAGAAGAAAATAATCCTTTTTAAAAAAAAGAACCATTTTGCAAAGGTCACCAAACAAATCATAATTGCTCCATTTATCAAACCAGAACAATATTATATTATATAAAGAATACAGGATGTCATCAAAAAACCCAAATGCAGAAGAGAATTAACTGGTCATATTTCTGTGAAGTCTAACAATAAATATTTACAGTGACTCCAGAAGGAGAATTATGGAAGTTCTGGTTTTTCATTCACTTCTGGACTTTTCTTTTTCCAGAAGTGGAGTTTTGTGTGCACATCTGTGTTACATATCTGGCGTTTGAGTATGCAGACTAATGGTCCCTTACCTTTCAAGCAAATGCATTCTGACTTCGAAGGAAGCATCCCTAATTTGTTAACATTTACAACATGCCTGCTAGTGGGCAGTGAGTGTATCTTGTTGTTTCCCTTACAGTGGGGCCTCTAGAACCCACACTGGAAGGTCTGGGTTCAATCCCCAGGAGAGGTATGAGGTTTTTCCTGCCCACACGACTGTGGGATCAACCCTTCTTCTTCTCTTAGTCTATGCTGAATGGTGTTGGTAGTCTGTCAATCAACAACACAGATTATCCTGTAAAGTCCATGCAGTGTGGCGATGGTAGTCATTTCTATCCACAACCTTCTGTTTCGAGTACTTTCAGTCAGTTCTGGCACGGATACTTCTCCATAGCCCATGTCATGTCGCGTTGGTTCTCATGTCTATCCATAATATTCTGTATTGTGTCTGTTCAGTGGGTTCTGACACAGATGATCTTCCATGCCATATGTCTATCCATAACTTTCTTGTCTTTTGTACTTTCAATCAATTCTGCAGCAGACTGTCTTCCATAGTCCATGCCATGTGTCAGTTCTGACACAGATAATCCTCCATAGTGCATGCCATGTTGTGCTAGCAGTCATGACTATTCACAAATTTCTGTCTCGTATACTTTCAGTAAATTTTGACACAGATGATCTTTCATAGTCTATGCCATTTCATGCTTGTAGTTATGTCTATCCACAACTTCTTTCTCATGTATTTTCAGTCAATTCTTCTTCTTCTTCTTCGCGTTCACCAGCTGTAAACTCTGGCGGAAGGTTCTGGTTGCTCGTCCACTACTGAACTGCAGTCCTGCTCCAGAAGCTGAGTGTTGCGTGTGCATCAGTTTTACAGATCTCATTCTCTTGAATACACACTGTTGGTTCCTTGCCTCTCCGGCAAATGCACTCCGACTTCAAAGGAAGCTCCCCAATTAGTCCACTCTTACGACATGCTTTTGGGGAGGCAGTGGGTCTATTCTTGTTTTCCCCACAATGGGGCTCCGGAACCCACACGGGGGTCAGTCAATTCTAACACAGATGTTCTTCCTTTGCCATGATGTCAAACTGTCCAGCATCATCTCTCTCTGTCATAAGATTTCCAATATTCTAATCATTTCTGCATGTTTCACTTCATTAAATGCTTTACTCTAATCAACAAAGCACAAATACAGATCTGTCACCCGAATTAGTTCACTTTTGCTATCATAAGTTTATTGTATTCACTGAATTATATTTAGGTGAACTGGATTGAGCATTTTACTGCGTTGGGTTTCCAAGTGGATGAAAACACAGAAGTTGTTGTTATGCATCCAGATTACATGTTAAAGATGACACAGTTCCTCAAGGAGCACTATCATGGATCTGAAGACAACATGAGGTCAGTTTTTTAATGTCTTTTTCTTATCAAATTTTACTCATTGCAACTGACAAGAAGTATTTTTACATGCTGATCTTGCTTTGGTTTTCAAGGTCCTTCTTTGATAGCTTTATGTCTATCAATTTATCTTTTACTTTTATTAGTTTAAAATGTGTACCTGTCAGGGGGAAAAAATGTAATTAGGAAAAAGACAGGCAGTCAAATCAAATCTGAACTACTTGCAGTTCCTACAATCTATACAATAATACATAGCTGTGTGATATTGCATAACCAAACATAATTGGACATAAATATACATTATTGAAAAAAGAAAATACTCTGTATAAAAGTAGTAAAGTAAAGTACTCTTTTCCACGCCTTTAGGCGTATAGGGCATATAGGGCTAGACCTATATTTTTATAGACCGATCGGCATAAGATGAGTGATGTAGTCAGCATCAAGCAGGCCGCCTTTACTTCCCAGGACTGCACCCGGTACCCACTTAAGACTGGGTCGACCTCGGAGCCATGTTTATTTTGGAAAATAGTCTGGCTTCGCCAGGGAGCGAACCCACGACCTTCCGATCTGTGGCGAGCATCTAGCCGCTCGGCCATGGCGACTACCATACTCTGTAGATCCCAGTTATAACCTGTATGAGCTTGACAGGATATTGATGTTCAAAGTACTACTACTGCTACTAAACTACCTGCAGGTGTGACCAACAGCAACAGCAACACAAATATAAAATGCAGTCATGCAAAGATTAAAAAACGCATTATAAATTTCCATGAAATTGAACTATCAAACTAAAATAGTGTCACAGTTTTGCAGTCAATCTAGCCAGAAGATAGTAGCTACATAGCCAGTAAAAATTATAACATCAAGTCATAGAAAGAAAACTCAACATAGATCATTGTCAGACAACCAACAACATAAGGTGAGAAAACTTAGTTTAAGATACAATGTTTACCTATTAAATACATTGATTTTCTAAAGATTCTTTGTGACTTTATTTAAACAAAACAAAAATTTAAAAAGAAACATGAAATAGAAATATTTGCAAAGTTTGAAATTTTCAAGGAGAAAAACATTTGGTAATGAAATTTTCAAGGAGAAAATGCATTTGGTAACCATCTTTATCTACCAACAATTGTGACTGCTTTCTTTAAATGATTTTAAAAAGCTAAAATAAACAGTAACATTAGTATATTATTTGCTGATAAATGTGTTCATATTAAGAATAACTTATGAGCAATTCAACAACAGTTTGTTTAATATAATAATAATGTTTTTTTTTTTTTTTTTTCAGAACACTCAGGGATTATCTTGTCATAAGTTTAATTCGCTCCTTCAAACCTTACTTTGATAAATCACTGTTTGAAATAAAAGAAACAGGTGAGTATTCCAATAGCCTGTTACTTTTAGTATCACATATTTTCACTGAAAAATAAGTTATTTTTGTATTAGCTCTTTATTCATGGTTCTTCATTTACTGATTGATTTGTGCATAGTGATATTTCTAGTTATGAACAACTAAAGACAAAGTATATTTGCACTGTGTAATAACAGAATCAACAAATATTTTGTGTAGGCTACATGAAGCCTGTGCTGTGTTTAACATTATAAATGGTGGAACATCATAAGAGATATAAGGTTTCGAACACATTTTATCCACTTAACTGAAGAATGTTATCATTAATAAAAAGCAGCTGTCAGAGTAGCTGGTTAAACATAAAATGGTTTGAACTGCTAAGGAAAGTAAGACAATTCTATTTTCTTCTCACAAATGTTAAACTAAAGACATATTTAAAACTGTGAAAAACTTTTGAGATTAATCTCATTTCTAGTGTGATTAATCACCTTGGAAATATAAATGTGTTGACATATAAATGGTGTGTTACAGTTTTATCAAATTTAATTTGCAGAAGAGGATGACTTGGAACAACCATGGAAAAGGTGTGCTTACTATACAAACAAAGCCTTGGGATTTTCTACTGGTGCTTTGTATGTTAAAGGTACACATTCCGAAGGCAGTGTGCAAAAGGTAAGTTGAATTTTTGTTCAGCAAATAACCAACATTTACAGTAATCTTTAGAAAAGGATTTATTCTTATAAAGGCCAGTATTGTTTTTATTTTTATTCTAGGGGTCTCCATGATGAAGTGAGCAAGTGAGATCATAAGTTCATTTCACAGTGT